CCCCCCCCACCGTTCTTTCTTAATGTCTTTTCTCCATAGTATGTATCATTATCATGCCTTTCATCCTACGGTACACTATTTCGAAAATAGTTAGTCCTCCTATCAGTCCGATCAATTGAAGGGATAACTTTCCTGCAACTATATTCTATTTTCGTGACAAGCCCGTTATCTCAAGTCGATATCATGCTGGGCTAGGATGAGGATGACCAAGGTTCGAATCCCTGGTTGGGTGTTATGGAACTGAGTTGTTTGATGAGTTTCGAGAGATCCTTTCCAACTTGGCTCGAGTTTATCGGAGTGCCGAAAGGGTTATACCATTTTCTGTATGTTCGTTAATTTTCAATTCACACTTCAGTAACAAAGGTTAAAATGTGATTCTAACGGAAACCGCAATGCCACATTATTAAAGGTACGTTTTGGACCTTTGTTTTGTGCCCTGATATGCTTGATGTTCTTCATGTTACTTTCCCAAAGTCCAGTCTCTAAGTCAAGTCTCCCCCCCCCCTCTCTCTCTCTCTTTCTCTCTCTCTCTCTCTCTCTCTCTCTCTCTCTCTCTCTCTCTCTCTCTCTCTCTCTCTCTCTCTCTAACACATTTCTCTCTTTCTCTTTCTTTTTTTCTCTCCTCATTTCTCCATTTGTTACGTGATTTTTTCTTCTGTCTCAACAGTTTCATTTCTTTCCTCCCTGTCTGTCTGTCTGTCTGTCTGTCTGTCTGTCTGTCTGTCTGTCTTCTCCAGAAAACGCCGTATTACAATACAATCATGCAGTCCCTAACAACTCATTACCTCGTATCCAGAAACTCGTAACTCAACAGGTACTCCCAAGGACGTGCTGACTAATTTCGTCATCAAGCAAGGGGAGACAAACTGCTTTCTTAACGATCAGAAATCCTTCACCGGTCAGAAGACAAAGCCCGCCTGGATCACTGGCCCTTCAGCTCACCAGCTCTGTCTGGGTTCCAGGGGTATAAAAGGGACAGCCCGTCTTACCGCTGTGATCTGTACATTCCAATACCGGTTAAAATCGCACACTGGTTTTGACATCTGAAAACTATAGACAAAACTCAGGTGAGTTTTTGAATGTACTGCCGAGCATAAGTTTGAGGGGTTTTGCAGTGCGAGTATCAATATTTATTATTTTTTTCTTTTTCCGTATTCATTCTGTCTTTTCATATTTTTTATACTAAAAGAAATGGAATTCTCTTGTGTCTGCTGCTCTTTTCTGATTTTGGATATTATCGTTTTCCCAGTTTGTCTGTTTGTTTGTTTGTTTGTTTCTTTGAGTGTTTGTTTGAGTGTTTGTTGGTTTTTTGTTTGTTTGTTTGTTGTAATTTGGCCCATCGTTCAAAAGGACAATCTAGAGCTATAGACTAACAACGTATTATGTTATGTTACTTTATTTCCTGTGCTTTCTACAGAGCATAAGTTCTAACAGTTTTGGTAAGATTTTAAATATTAGCGTTTAATAACATCATGACGTATTACATTGCATTATTGAATTATGTTTTTTAAACTGTTTTTCATCGTAAAAGTCTTCCCTTTCTCAGTCCCAGAGAATCATGGGGTGGAGGCTTTAGGACTTGATATCATTTTGTCAAAAATCTTTATGTCCATTAAAAATACATTTCAGTATGGATTTTGATGAAAAACAGTAGATCAAAGGCACACAAAAATTACATTTGTGGTTACCAAAGACATTCTTGTTGTCAAGGCTACCAAACGTTGGCGTCCATTTTCTGATTGATTTTCCCTCTGACACCAGTCAAACCCTTCCTCCCTCAATCCAAAATATCTCGACTTCTATTCAAGACAGATGGATACTGATTTCATCAAAACAAAGCAAATGAACACATTTAAGACTAGAAATAACTTTGTGTGCCCCAAAACTGACGACCACCTGATTCCACATAGTCGTCACACAAAATTAAAACAGCTGGCTGACGAATTACTTTCTTTAGCCTCTACTTATTTCTCATTTCCAGGCAAATCTACGAGGAAGCCTGTTTGAAATGCACTCATTTTTTCCGATTAATTTACACCAATAGCTATGCCTACTCCAAACAATAGTTATATTATATGTCAAAGTATTTGTTCCTAGTAGCTTATCGACGTTTGTGGTGTAGCTATTAGGCGCTTTGCTGTCGCACACAGGAGCTCTCTGTCCGGGTTAGCTCTGCCAAACACGGTGGGAAACCCGCCTCTTAATTTGCCTAAATTAATTCAATGGGAGGGCAAAAATACCTACATTAAAAATCATCTTAGCAGCTTGGCAAGTGCCATTGCTTGTCCTTTTTTCTCAACAAAGTTTTAGACGACCAGAGAACAGTCTGTTCAATAGCACAACTTGTTGAAGAGTGCAAAGCAGGTGTTCATTTGTTATTTTATTCGTGAATTCTTCGCGACGGCCCCAAATGATGCGTATCCGAAATTTGGTTTTCACCTGCCTTTGCGATGTAACAATTAGGCACTCTGTTGCAGCACTCATAAGAGCTGAGTTCGATTCCTAATTCCTAAATGTGGAGAATGTTTATGGAGTATTTTGGTCTTTCATCAGGAACGTTGCATCATCCCTCTCAGCCTGGGTTGGTTTTAATTGGTCTGAACAGTCTGGATGGGAGAGTAAAACTTCTACAACATAACATATTGTAAATATCAAAATTATATTCTAAAGCGCGTGATACATATTGTGACATTGGTGTGAGCATGACCAAAAGGGAACAAAGAAACAAACACGATTTTTGTGGTTCAAATCAAATTTTGATCACATTGCCTTCAACTCAGAAACAAACTGCCACCATGCTTGTCATCAGAATTTATTTTCTGCCAGATCTGACTAGCGTCTACCTTGCTTTAGACGCGGAATCTGGCCAGAAAGATA